CTTTTGCCCTTGGCACGGTATGCAGCAATATCCTGAAATATTGTCAAGAGAAGAAAATCAACATCCGGTGTCATTTCTCAACTGAAAACCACTACGTGTAAACAATCTAAGATTATTGACCAATAACCCTGGCAACTGTCTAAAAAATTATTTTTGACAGCATTTGTTCCCTCTAGGCTTTAGGAAGCTTATGATGTCAAACCATGGGTGGCATTAGATCAATGTCAATACTTTCACTACTAACATCCATTTACCTCACTTAGTCTCCCCCCCATCCTTCAACTTCACATTTTTTTTATCTACCTACATAAAACCCATTTGGCCCTCCACTTTTTCAAACTAAGAGGCCTATATAACCACAAAAGAGTCTCTATGCAGGAACCTACCAGTGCTACAACACTGATTTCAGTCAAAAGAAAGGAGATTTCTCAATTAGTTTGTTCTAAGTTGTGCAAAGCACAGCTGACAGCTATTAATACATGATTATCTACACTTCCCAACTTTCTACCACTTATATCTACTTCTAACATACTTTAGAAAATATCTACCTAATTTCAACCCCGGCTTTAAAAAGTGTACCTTTTCATATTTCTCCTTTAGCTTAGCTGCTTTTTGTTCATATGGTTGCTTATCTTTGGCTGATTGTTCAGACCACATTTCACCCAATTTTTTTGCAGTATCCCCAATGGACAAACCAGGGTGTTCGCTTTTAATCTTTGGGCGATGTTCAGAGCAAAACAGGAAGAAGGCAGATCTGAAAGGAAGTACCAAGAGTTAATAAACTGAAAAATCAAGGGGCAATTTGAGCAATTCAAGAATACAAAAACAAAAAACTTACGGAGGCCTTTTAGGAGCATTGGGATCTTTTTTCTTCCCTTTCTTGTCACCTTTGGGGGGAACATAATTTTCATCTCCCGGTCATAGCGAGCTTTGTCACTCTTCGCCATGTCTTCGAACTTTGACTTTTCCTTGGCAGACATGGTCTGTGAGCAGGACAGCAGTTAGAAACACAGCAAAACTGTAACCTATGCACACCCCAAAAGGCCATCTTAACGGCCACATTTTCCGAAGTAACAGCATTTTTCTTTAGTGGTCTTAAGCAAAAACCTAAAGAAACCTGCCTAAAACTCTCCACAGAATCTTCGAGCGAGTCCTCCGGGTAGCGAGCTGAAAGTCCCAAGTCAATTGCCTGCCTAGTGTCCTGGCCCGCGAACACACCTGAGAACTCTTTGCTGGCGTCTGCATTCCCGACTCACCTTCCATTTCTCGGAACATTTCTTGGAGAATTCGGAGAAATTGACGGAAGAGTCGGGGTGTTTCTTCTTGTGCTCCTCCCGGCAGGTCTGGACGAAGAAGGCGTACGAGGACATCTTGCCCCGCGGCTTGTTGGGGTCTCCTTTGCCCATGATGACAGACGGCGTCCTCCTAGCCGGGCGAAAGCAGGGGGTGGGCGCCGGCGGGG